AAGCTAACTCTAGCAAATGCCATGGAGCTGGGTCTGTGTTATATGAAACCAGCCTGTGGAGTCCTCTAGGTACCCTGCATCCTAGGGAATGTACAATAGAGTAGGACATTGATTTTTTTGATCTTCGTTGGAAGCCGTGAACGCAAGGGGTTCCTAACTTACATCCATCATCATCATTACTTATGTAAAGACACAAACTACAAGATAGCCCAGCTCTATTAAACCCATAAATAACTAGACAGGCAGAGGAAAAGGACTCTTAGTGCTCAGATGTAGGCTTCCCAGGTATGGGAAAAATAGGTTAGACCACAAGGAGAGTGATCAAGGTGATCCAGTAGGTCAGAAAAGGATAATTCACCCTTCGTAAGGACTCACGCTGGTATGCTATGTTGCTTAGCATTCTGAAGGACAACCGTAATTTTAATCCCTTTTCACCTTTTTCAGTGGTTTGGTGTGTGGCGATGGCATTTCCAATTTTAGAAGAGAAGTCAATGGGAAAATAGGATTAACTTTGCTGGAATGTATACGCCGACCTAAAAGATTGCCTATATGATACCACATAAAAGTGCCTGACTTGCAATTTTGATATCTTAATTCTAGGGCTGTTTGAATTTGTATTTTATGCTTAAATGTAAAGAAATAAACGTTTCCTGAAGATCATGACTAATAGCCACAAGTAGGTGGGAGGGCAGTGGAGACCTTTGATGCTACATCCAGCTGTAGGTTTGTGTTTTTAAGCCTCTTGTGAAATAACGACTAGTTAAAAGTGTCGGCTTGAAGCCCACATGGTGATTGCTTTCTCCTATTCTTTTAGGTTCATTCAGCAAACTAAATATAGGACATAAGATTTTGTGTTTGATATCAGTCTTAAAGTAATCCTAGTATCCCTGGGGCAAATTGCTGACTACCGACCCACTGTCTTATACCATTCTCTTTCCCTCTCATTTAACAAATTCACATTGGGCTGATTTCTGCTCGCCTCATTGGAGTGGATCTCTGGGTATTTCTCAGTCAGTAAACCTGGTTTCAAATCCTGCCTCAGATGCTTCCTAGCTGTATGAGAATGGGCAAGTCATTTTCTTAGGGCCTTAGTTTCTCCCATCAGTTAAAGTGGGATAATAATAATTGTACTGCTTACTTCGATAAGGCTGTTGTGAGGGAACAGCTTTCCATACCTTGAATCTGAGTTGTATGCATTATGGATGCCCTAAAAATTGGATGAATGAATGAAAAAAAAGTATTTCTGAAGCACTGACAGTGTGCCAAGATGTGTCTTCAAGGATTCTAATGGAAAAGACAACATAGAGCTTAGGCAACAAGGAGAGTGATCCTTGTTGGCCACGGAAAGCCGTCTTGGTTTGGGAAGTCTCTCTTTCTGATAACAATGGTAATTGATCAGAGTTCCCAGAGGAAGAGAAGGAAAGTTAGGGTGGAGGGTGGGGCGTGCATCAGCGGAGTAGAAGTCTGTGTTAGAATACGCCGGGAGCCAGCAAGGTAGCAATCCCACAGTCTAAAGGTTAGTGCCTCCAAAGAGTCCCGTCCCCCCCCCCCGGAAGTTTCCCTCTCTTCCCTCTCAAACCTCTTGGCCTGTTGCTATCAAGTGATTTAAAGGCTTCTCAGAGCCAGCTGAGAATCTGAAAACACAGGTTACCCTGAATCAAGAGATGACCAGCCAACAACTGGTTATTCTGTGCCCTGGGCCACAGGAGAAAATAGGCCACGGGGTTTTCTCTGATGAATCCCCTGTACTCCCTTCACACATTGGGCTAAGTATTTGGTTAGTGTGGAGCAGGGCTGTGACTCGATGTGCTCTATGTTTGGCTGCAGACTGCTGTAAGCTCTGCTTTTTCATGCCATTTTCTCTGGAGCTATTTCCTATGTAAGAGTAGCCCTTTCTGGAGAGCTTTAAGTCCCAGGGTTTTTCCTTTCCTCATTTTTAGGCATTCCCTCACCCTGCCAAAAAAAAAAAAGCCCTATTTCTCTTTGTCCATAAATGATTGTGTGAAATCAGGTTGTTTGTTGAAAATGTTGTTTCTACTATCTATCACCTTAGGTTTTCTATAAAGTTTCATACTAAAGATACTTCTACATAGGTTCTCATTTGCATTATTACCACCTCTGTCTATGGCTCAGCAGGAATTGGGAGGACAGGAAGTTTGAGGTTCCTTCCTTTTTAAACCTGAGTACTTAATTAGCACTCCCCCACCCCCACTTCCAGAGGCATTCGGTGTCAGAGAGAAGACAGTTGGAATTGAACTTAGCAGTATCTTTTAAACAGGCTCTATACTGTAACAGGGGAAAGTTGCACTTAGGGATGGGTGTAGAGTTTTCTCACTTAAGTCGGGTTCCCTTATTTGAGGTGCCCATTTGTTAGTGTGTCATTTTATATTGTAGTTACTTGTGCACCACCAGTGGTACAAGCAGAGTTCTGAGTGATGTCTGAAATTTTAAAAAGGCATTGCTTTAAAGGCTGGGTAGGAATTTGGCATGGTGGGAGGAGACGAGGGGAGAATGGTTGAAAGAACTGGGAATGTTTAGCCTGGAGAATAGAAGGCTTTGGTTAGGGGACATAATAAATGTTTTCACATATTTGAGGGACTTTCACATAGAAGAGATTTGGGCTTGTTCTGCTTACTCTATTCCAGAGGGTCAAATTAGGCAGAGCAGGTAGAAGGAGTTGTGGAGAGGCAGGTTTTGACTCGATGTTTGAAGTATTTTCCTAACAATGAAAACTGTCCGGATGTGGAATGAATGGCCAAAGAAGTAGTGGGCTCCCCCCTCCCCGGAGCTCATCTGGCAGAGGCTGGCCAGGCATTTCATGGGGCTACAATAGAAGGGTTTTCTGTTCACATACTGGCTGGAGTCGATAACCGCTCAAGACTATTCCAACTCTTGTAAAGGAAGAAGACACTCTAAGCACAGAATAGACAGTTAGAGGTATGACCCCTGGGGGACAGTGAGTAGTCCAGTTTGGCTAGAATGCAGATGGATACACAGCATATGGAAAAGAGTCACTTGGTAAGTACTAGGTGCCCATTTCAGAATCTAAGCAGAATAACATGACCAAATCCATGCATTGAGAAGATGAAGTTGGAAGGGTCCATTAAGTGGGGAGACAGTTGAGGCAAGAAGCCCTGTTAGAAGGATATTGGGGGTGGTATGAGGGCTTATACAAAGGTTGGCAGCAGGAGTATGTGGGAGGAGACAAATGTGAGAAAGATAGCAAAGGTAGAATTAAGAGGACTTAATGACTTACCATATCTAAGGAGAGCAGAGTCACTGAGAAAACCAAGATTTTTTTTTTCAAATGGAAGACTGCTTAAATGGTGGTACTAGTGAGAGAAATAGCAAAGTGAGGAACAAATTTTTGGGAAAACAAGGTCTGCTTGAGGTACCACTGGGACATCCGAGTAGATTCTGGAATCATCTGGGTGGAGGTGAATGAGAAGCCAAGGAAGCCCGTGTTGAGAGAGGGAAAGAGGGCTGAGGCCAAGACCTTGGGAAGCACCCTAAGGAAGAAAATCAGAAGACTAAGCAGCAGCCTTCAGAAAGATAGGGAGAGAACCCCAAAAGGGTGGAGTCTCTAAAGTCAGGAGAGAGTGCCCAGACACTGGTTGCCACTGAAAGATGAAGATTTTTAAAGCCCATTGGATTTGGTGATTAGGGGTTAGTGGTGGGACAGAAGCTAGATTGCAAAGGGTAGAGGAGAGAATAAATGCTGAGAAAATGGAGGCATCAGATGTAGAAGTTTCAGAAATGAAGGGGAGGAATGGTAAGGAGCCAGTAGATGAGTCAAGGGAAGACTTTGGGAGAGGGAAAGAATGAAAAATAGGTGAAAAAGAGGAGATGATTGCTAGAGCACAGTCCCAAAGGAGTCTGAAGGCAATGGGATTATTGCTGCATGCAGAGTTTAGCCATGGGGAGGAATAGGAATATCTCTTCCTCTATAACTGGCTCAGTTGAGTGCAAAGGAGGAGAAAGTGGGTGGTGATGCTGAGAATTTAGGTGGCCTCAGTCTCAATGAAGTTGGGGAGTGGGGTAATAGGGAATCATCTTAAGTTTGGAAGGGAGGAGTGTGATTGAAAGGAAAGGAGAAAAGGTTTAGAACATTCTCTGACAAATGTGCGTATGTGAGAGACAGACAGAGACAGAGATACAGAGACAAGGACAGAGAGTCACATGTAAAGACATTCTAAAGCTATTTTTTATTATTAGCCATGCTATTGCCTTTCTCTAGCCATGTGAATAATAGAGGCGAATGTAGTATGCACGGGTACAAAAAGAATTGGATGTTTACATTTTCACTTCTCAGAGAAAGGAAAATAAGATAGTAGCATTTTTTAGAAAGATAGTTTTCTCTTAACTATCTAGATTGAAGTGGATTCATGGAAAGAATATAATACAGGGGGTTAGAAAACTGAGTTCAAGTCTCTATTCTGTGACTTTAAGCAAATCAATTTTTGTGGACCTCAGTACCCTCATCTGTAAAATGGGAACAATAATACCATAGTTTTGGGGGGGACAATTTGGGATAAATTGGATCATCTGTGTTTGCTTTTAATTTGGACTTTTAGAATTTCAGAATGCTCTCACATAAGGAGGTTGACTTGGGCTGCTGTGTAGGGATTGTGTTTAATTAACAAATCAACAATGGAGGGGAAGGTGAAGAAACATCCCCTTTATCTGCCTCTTGTCTGGGCTGTGACTTACTCTGCTGGGAGGAAGTAGAGCAGTGCACATGCATGCCAGGCCATTCGGCACTGGGGCTGCCGTTCCTTAACTTCAGAACCCCAGACCAGAGACGGAAGGCGGCGGGGGGGGGGGGGGGGGGGGGTATTGTGGAAGAAACCACCCTGGAGAGCCAGTAGAGGTTTTTCTGCATGTCTGCTAGAAAGAGTTCTTTTTGAAAATGAAATAAAAAATGAACTAGCAATAATTACAAGAGGAAAATGCTCTTCACACTTGAATTCTGAAAGTAACCTTGTTGTTGTTCTTTCTAGACTGATTACATTGCCATGGAAATTGTTATTAGAAGAAAGTGTTGGTTGTGGAATTTCAGCTGGTATCCTCAAGACCTGCTTTTGGAGAGGCCAGAGGTTTCTGAATAGAAAGCAACTTTGATTTCTTCGAGCACAGAAATGGACACCAACGGTGTAATGGCTTTGTTCACACACAAGTTGGCCAGCTGCCTTTGATCTAGCTGTTTGGAATTACCCATGTTGACAACTGTGCTTTGGATTATTGTTGTTGTTGTTGTTTTCTTCAGCTTACCTCTTTAGGAGGAAACAAATGTTTAATGAAAGATTCTGAGCCCCCTTCTCCTCTTGAAAAGGTTTTTTTCTTCTCATACTAAGCTACACAAAGATGGTGGCCCATGGTGTGTTTAATAAACGAGCTTGCTATTCTAGTAGTAATTCTCATAGCCTGTAAATTTTGCTCACTTTCCATTCCATTTTTGAAGTTGGAAAAACCTTTTGAAGGGGACAGAGAAAAGGGGAACACCGGTCTATGATCCAGGCTCTTTTTGCTCAGTGCTATGAGAGGCATTTCTTGATCATAGATCTTGCATTTATGAATTAAATGTCAAACTAAACTGATGTCTTGATTGAGAATTTCTAATACTTAAAAAATACAGCTGAAAGGCAGACTGATTTGTTTTGGGTTTTTTGCTACTTGCTTAATACTTAAACACAACATTAAGATGGGGGTTTCTGTGCATTCAATTGGACATTTCCAAACATTTTTTTTTCCATTTTTGTTCAATAAGCCCCCCCCCCACTTAGCAAGTAGTCTCATTATTACCAAGTTATACCATTCCCCTCCCCTACCCCAACCCCAATTTTGGACCAAGTTTGCATCCTGAAAAAAAAATTAGACTTGATCCTCAATTTATCATTTGCCTTAAAAACAAACAAACAAACAAACAAACCTTCTCAAAGGTCATTTCTCCATTTGGAAAATGAGCTTACAGAAAATGTTAAGAAATTAAAGTAAGCTTTGCTACTTTTGCTCTGATTTGAGTTGGAGCTGAATTTAAAATTTTAATGCTGACCTTTGAGAGTATTTCATTAATTGGTGGTAAATGCAAAGGATTCTTACCCAGGTCCTAGAGACTGCTCGAGGGTTTGTAAGATAGTGGTGGTACAAATTCGTCTCAATTTACTGCACCGCTACTGGCAGACCTCCTCATTGTATATTGTGGAAGAGTGTGTGTGTGTGTGTGTGTGTGTGTGTGTGTGTGTGTGTGTGAGTGTGTGTGTATGTGTGCTGTGTTATACCATGTGTGTTGTGTTGTGTGTTGTGTGTTATGTATCCTATGTGTTGTGTGTGTGTTCAAACTGCTTCACCTCTAACATACAACCTTTATAAAACAATGTATGGTTTCTATAACAACTTAGCCACTTGGTTTTGATGTCAAATATAACATGCATTTTTATTTTCCAGCAGTCTTAAAGTACATGCTAACTCAAAAGCAATTATTTGATGTCAAATAGCATATACTTTTTTCGAGCAGTCTTAAAGTACATGCTAATTAAAAAACCAACCATTTGACTCAAATAACAAGTGCTTTTTCTGAGCGGTCTTAAAGTACATGCTAACCAAAAAAAACAAAAAAAAAACAAAAAAACACAAAAAAACAAAAACAAAAAAACAAAAAAAAAACAAAAAAAAACAAAAAAAACCCCCACAGTCATTTAATGTCAAATAACATGTGCTTCTGTTTTCAAGCAGTCTTAAAGTACATGCTAACCAACCCCCCCCCAGTCATTTGATGTCAAATAACATGCTTCTGCTTTTAGTCTTAAAGTACATGCTAACTAAAAAAAACAATTATTTGATGTCAAGTAACATTTCAAGCACTATTAAAATACATATTAACCAAAAAAAAACCCACTCCAACACAATCATTTAATGTCAAATAACATGTGCTTCTATTTTCTAGCAGTCTTAACGTACATGCTAACTGAAACAAAACAAAACAAAAAACAATACAGTCATTTGAATTTGGTGTCAAATAACATGTGCTTCTATTTTTGAGCAGTCTTAAAGTACATGCTAATTAAAAATAATTATTTGATGTCAAATAATATTTTGAGCAGTCTTAAAATGCATAATAAGTAAAAAAATATTTAAAGTCAAATAACATTTTGAACACTCTTAAAGTACATGCTAACAACCCCCCCAAAAAAATCCAATACAGTCTTTGGATGTCACATAACATGTGCTTCTGTTTTTAAGCAGTCTTAAAGTACATGCTAACTAAAAAAATATTTAAAGTCAAATAACATTTTGAACACTCTTAAAGTACATGCTAACAAAAAAAAAACAACAAAACCCAATACAGTCTTTGGATGTCACATAACATGTGCTTCTGTTTTTAAGCAGTCTTAAAGTACATGCTAACTAAAAAAAATTTGAAGTCAAATAACATTTTGAACACTCTTAAAGTACATGCTAACAAAAAAACCCCCAAAATCCAATACAGTCTTTGGATGTGATTTAACATGTACTTCTGTTTTTAAGCAGTCTTAAAGTACATGCTAACTAAAAAAATATTTAAAGTCAAATAACATTTTGAACACTCTTAAAGTACATGCTAACAAAAAAAAACCCCCAAAACCCAATACAGTCTTTGGATGTCACATAACATGTGCTTCTGTTTTTAAGCAGTCTTAAAGTACATGCTAACTAAAAAAAATTTGAAGTCAAATAACATTTTGAACACTCTTAAAGTACATGCTAACAAAAAAAACCCCAAAACCCAATACAGTCTTTGGATGTCGTTTAACATGTACTTCTGTTTTTAAGCAGTCTTAAAGTACATGCTAACTAAAAAAATATTTAAAGTCAAATAACATTTTGAACACTCTTAAAGTACATGCTAACAAAAAAAAAAACCCAAAGCCAATACAGTCTTTGGATGTCACATAACATGTGCTTCTGTTTTTAAGCAGTCTTATAAAAATTTGAAGTCAAATAACATTTTGAACACTCTTAAAGTACATGCTAACAAAAAAAACCCCAAAACCCAATACAGTCTTTGGATGTGATTTAACATGTACTTCTGTTTTTAAGCAGTCTTAAAGTACATGCTAACTAAAAAAAATTTGAAGTCAAATAACATTTTGAACACTCTTAAAGTACATGCTAACAACCCCCCCAAAATCCAGTATAGTCTTTGGATGTCACATAACATGTGCTTCTGTTTTTAAGCAGTCTTATAAAAATTTGAAGTCAAATAACATTTTGAACACTCTTAAAGTACATGCTAACAAAAAAACCCCCAAACCCAATACAGTCTTTGGATGTCACATAACATGTGCTTCTGTTTTTAAGCAGTCTTAAAGTACATGCTAACTAAAAAATCATTATTTGATGTCAAATAACATGTACTTTTATTTTCAAGCAGTCTTAAGGTACATGCTAACTAAAAAATCATTATTTGATGTCAAATAACATGTACTTTTTTCCTGAGCAAGTCTTGAAGCACATGCTAACTAAAAACCAGTCATCTGAAAAAAGAGTTAAGCCCCACCCCTTTGTAGTGGTGGAGGGTTAGGGGGGTGGTAGGCTGAGCTCCTTAGCTCGCTTCTTCTTGTGAATCTTGCTGATGGCGATCGTTGGTATACTTATTAGTTGCTGCTGGAGCATAGACTCACCCAGTTCAAAAGTTGTATTCTTCCTATAAACCCCATCCTATTGTGCTACGTAGCCTTTATTTGTTCACTAACGATGCGATGTTTAGACAACCTTTTTTCAAGCTGTCTTTTTTCCTTTAAAAAAAAACAGTAATTTGAGTGTTGTTAGTCGTTCAGAATTGTGAAAAGTAAAAGTGGAGTGGGGAAAAAAAGAATGTTAACATGACTTTATTTCCATGTTCGGGCCTGAGGCTGTCAGCGCGCAACAGAGGCAACACTAATCTATGCTGAATATATAGGTGACCTCACACAACACACACACACTTAGTAACAGGTACGACATACGGAGCACATATGCAATCTTTCTGAATCTCTTAGTTTACAGACAAATAACTTATTCAGTATTGCGCTGGAAGAAAAAATTTAAAATATCACAATATATATATATACACACACATATATGTATATTGCCTTCCAGCTGCCAGTTGACGCTGCTGTATAGTACAGAAACACCAATGATGGAAGAATGTTTTGTGACCTGTAAATTTCATTTGATATTGGACATAGTAATTTTTGTCTGTAAAAACTAAAACGTGTATGGTGGAAACTGTTCGTTATTTTGCTATTCCTGCTTCACAAATCTGCTTTGAATTGTTCAAGCTTTGCTATCCATTGTAAATATCGTCACATTGTTTTCTCTGTAAGCACATTGCTTTGCTGTTTGGGGAGACTGACTTGCACCTCTGTATAGTGTTCATATTTATCTGACTTGGCTTTCCATAGAGCTACTTGCAGTAAATGTGTGTTCATGTAACCCTATTTGTGTGTGCGTGTTTTTTTTTAAACTATTTTCTATACTAGATTATGAATATCCCCCCTCTAATATGGTGATATTGGATTTGCTCATTTCTTTCTCATGGAAGAATAAAGGGGTCAGGAAGTTTTGAAATGGGATAAAGTTACTTTGCCTGGGAACAGATTGTCCCAGTAAGTTCATTCCTTTTCTAAGGGCTCTCCAGTGGTGTTGGGATAGTCAGTTCTTGAGCCCCCCAAAATAGAGGGGGTGGAGAAGAGATCTTTAGTGCAGAAAACCCAAACCAGCAGTCTGATTGAGCTTTCTTTTCTTTAGAGCCCCTCACTGAAGAGCCTGAGGAGGGGGGGGACGGGACTAGCAAACTGATCCTCTCCTCTCTATATGACTCCTTTTCATTTTATCTTGTACCAGAGGAAGATAAGATAATCACACAAGCAGATTGTTTGCCTTTTTAGCAGGCAGGCTTTTTTTTTTTTTTGCATGGGAGAGACCAGGGGCTAGAGAGTTGAATGTCAGGGACTGGCAACAAAGTCTGTTGATAGCTGTGCCAGAAGAGTAGGGTTTAAATTAATACCAGAAAAATGATTGCTTTCACTGTATCTCCCTTTGTCCACTCATCATGCCCACCGAGGGGGCAAAGAAAGTAAACAAGGCTTTATGTGGCTCTGGGAAAGAAGCCTGCCGGGGGAGCATTGGGCAAGGGGGAGGACGGGAGCATCTGCGGGACCAGATGGACAATTGGGGTGGGGGGGGGAGGAGAGAAAGGCCAGCTCCCAGAGCATATGTATAATCCATAAACAACATAATGATTCTACAATGCAGATAGGGTTGATTGTATGACCAGACCTCACTTGAGGTAGTCATTCACTCAAAACACAGAGTGTATTCTCCATTCATAGCACATTTCTGGAAAAGTTGAGTTTAAATGGAGAATTTCTTTATCAGTATGAAAATACAATTAGGCTTCCATTAAAATTCCAATGATGTTCCTATGCATAACAACAATCACATTAAGAATCCTAATCTTCAGTTCCAGGAGCAGTTTCCTTTGTCAGGGCCAGTTCAAGTGCATCAAATGCTTTCCACCCAACCTCTACCTGAGAAACAAGAAACATGTCATATAGAATACATTGATCAATCCTCATGGTCTTGCACACATAAAATGCACCCATTTCACTGGGTCAGGTGGGGGTGGGGGTGGGAAAGGACTAGAATACTTGAAGCAATGGCCTATCTTGTGGCTAGTCTACATGAAAAAGAACCGTTTATTGAACATAATGTAGACTTCTCCAATTCGCTAGGACCAACTAAATCACAGAATTTCAAAGTTCGATGGAACCTCAGTCTAACTTGTACCTGAAATATCCTTGGCCAATTGGTCATCCACCCTCTAATTGAACCTTGTCACGGACATGGAATATACTATTCTTTTCATTATTGAATGAATCTCATTTTTAGGAAGTTCTTCTTAATATAGAGGCAGAATTTATATCACCCATTGGTTTCACAGTTCTTTCCACTGTTGCCTAAGCAGAGGAAAATTGAAAGTTGTCTAAAGAAAGCAACCAAATTAAATTTTAAAAGGCATGTACAGAAAATGGAAAGAAGGGCAGATAAGAGAGGAATCTAAAAGCATGTCATGTAGGATTTTGAGCATGTGGCCAATAAGGATGGGTCACATAGTGGTTTTAATCAAGCCTCAGCACTCAAAAACTTCAGAAAAAGAAATGCATGCCTGATAGAGGGTAAAACCTAGGTTATGGTAAATCTGAATCCACAAGACAAAACAGTAACAACCCACAAGGTAAAAATCCCATAAAATAACATCAATCTAAATACTTAGAGCTCCCACTCAGCGTGCCCACCCTCAACCCACTCTGCATTTCATGGGCATTGAGTGCAAATGAAGCTTATGATACAGGGTCCAGCTGTGGGGATACTTGCCTGGTCCCACTATGGTAGTGACTCAGAGACTGAATCCCCACCCCACAAGAAGTGGAAAATTCTGATTCTGCCCAGCCATGAAAAGGAAATTGTGATTTGTCTGTGGAGGGGGAGATAAAGTGGGGATGTAACAAGAGGAAGAGCCTCTATGCACTGGGAAAGGGAGTCTGGAAACTCAGATGAAGCCAGTTTACTCTGGGCAAGGACCCAGGGTCCAAACTACCTCAATGCGAAGAGGATGAGGATGCACACCATGAATGGAGGGATTGGGGGGAAGAGGTGTCAATATAGGGAAGGAGGAAAGGAGCATTGTTAATACTGCAGTGGAAAGGGCCAAACAGTGAGAAGAAAAGCCAGAGGCAAGCTGAAAATAAAAGAGAGAATGAAAAACCAAAAAGTGCAAGAGAGAAAGGTCTTCACCTCGGAAAGCAAG